AGAAGCAAATTCAAGAATTAATAACCCAAAAGATTATACATGCCTCCAAGAGTCCTCATAGTAGTCTTGCCTTTATGGTAAGAAATCATAATGAATTAAAAATAGGAAAAGCTAGAATGGTTATCACCTACAAATAACTTAATAGCAAGACTAAATTTGATGGACTTTCTACCACATAAAGAAACTCTAATAAATAGCATTAGAGGAAATAAGATATATTCAAAGTTTGATTGTTAATCAGGATTTTGGCAAATTAAGCTAACTCCCGAAAGTATTCCATTAACAGCCTTTAGTGCCCTTACAGGACACTATGAATGGCTAGTAATGCCTTTCGGATTGAAAAATGCCCCTCAATATTTCAAAAAAGAATGGATAATGTATTTTCATCCATCAAAAAATTTTGCATAGTATATGTAGATGATATACTAATCTTCTCTGATAACGAGAAATAACATCTATATCATCTTAGGAAATTTGCATATTTATGCAAGAAACATGGAATATTACTTTTTGAAAAGAAAGCAGAAATAGGAAAAGCTAAGATTGAATTCCTTAAATTAACAATAGATTCCACAAGAATAGAATTACAGCCTCACATAAGTGAAAAGATTTCATTATTCCCAGATAAATTAGAATATAGAGAACAGAATCAAAGGTTTCTAGCTATACTTAACTATGTAGAGCAGTTTATTCAAAACTTAGCTCAACTAAGACATCCCTTGCAAAAGTTGCTTAGGAAGAAAGAGAGTCAACAATGGGAAATTCATCACACCAATCATGTGAAAAGAATTAAAGAATATTGCAAGAACCTTTCTAGGTTGCAATTGCCTAGAGATGACGAAGAATTAGTTTTAGAATATGATGCTTTAGATTTTTACTGGGGAGCAGCTTTGAAAAATTCTCAAGAAAAAGTTTGTACATATGCTAGCGGTACATTCAAAGACATAGAAACAAGATAGCATTCAAATCACAAAAAAATTATTGGCCATTAAAAATGGAATAAAAAAGTTCAGTTTCTTCTTATTACCAAAACATTTTAAAATTAGAACTGACAATACTCAAGTTAAGGGATTTATTTTTAATAAATTACCTTTAACACCATAATATAAGAGACTAAATAGATGACAAACATTCTTTGCTGAATATGATGTTGAAATTGAACATGTCAAAGGAACTAATAATTGTCTTGTAGATTTCTTAAGCAGAGAAAGAGCTAATGGATGAAATCCTGAGACTCCAAAATAAAAGAAAAGACCTTATTCTCAAAGGTCAAGAGACACTCATTGAAGGCAATAGCCAGATAAGAGAAGGCCAAGAAAAAATGATCGTAGGCCAAGAAATAATTGATGAAGGCCATAACCTTATGGATGACGGCCAAGATAAAATTATTAAAGGCCATGAGTTGTTAAATAAAGGACAAGATGCCCTTGAAGAAGTCAAAGAGTTGCTAGAAAAATTAATAAGTTCCGGAGTAATTACTACTGTTGGAATCAACTCCAAAGAATCTAGCCAGATGGCAAAAAAAAGCTCCCAACAAGAGCTAAAAGAAAATTTTGAACAGGGTGATTTTTCAGTAGGATTACTTGGAGAAAGTTCAGGGAAATTTGATTATTATGTCAAATACTTTCCCCTAGATACATAAGCATCTTAGGCTGAAAAGTCGGCTATTCAAAATGCTAAAAACCGTAACTTTCGACTTGATTATTCAGGAAAGAAAGAAAAGAAAGTTACAATAATAGACACCTTGTAAAAAATGACAATGAGTGAAGAATATCTGAGGATTACCATAGCGTCTATAGAATGGCATATTCAATAAGGCCTACTTAGAATTGCCATCCTATCCATGAAGTGATTTATCCCAGAACTAATTTCATGCATGGTGCAAACCCAAAAGCAATAAAAGAACTATTCAATTACGGTTTTGTAAACTGTATTTATCTCTCAAAGAATAATGAAGAAGTTTCAGAGCTTTCAAAAGTTATATGCCAAAGAGTGAAAGACTTCAAGACTTTAAGACTTCAAGACTGGCACTAAAGCTTAAGGGGTAGTATTTGTTAAAATCTACTCTGTAGCATCAGAATGGGAGAAATCTCAATATTTCTCCAGTCATCATATAATTCAAATTGGAATTTAGTCCAAGAAAGTCAATGTTGAAGCAAATGAAGATCAAATTTTCCAAAACTTTGAAGAGTCTCTTTGTGGGATCGAGTTTATCCAAGAAAGATGAGCACTAGGATTCAAGGTTTTACTCCAAACCTTTGACAGAATGATAGAGATGAGGAAGATGTGGACATATGGGTTCTCCAAAGAAATCTTAGTAGTATCCATTTGTACAAGATTAATGACAAGTATCAACCTGTTCAAATAAAGCAGAAAAGAAATGAAATCTTTGAAAATTTGGTTCTAGCTAGTAAAGCAGTGCATAATAGATTATGCAAGCTATTAAAGCAAGACAATCACTGTGGTTTTTGCTACAAAAAAAGAATCTACCAAAAAAAAAAAAAGGCTGAAGCAGCACGTGAAAGAGGAACCCCCTCATACAGTGAAGAGGATCTCATCATCCTCTAAAGAATCCAATGCAAAAGGACAAAGGCTCTTATATAATTGAAGCAAAAGAAAAAAGTCAGTAAGATTCCATGTAATCAGCTTTAGTAAAAGCAAGGTGCAAGTCTGGTTTACTAGACAATAATGTAAACTTTAAACGTCAGCAATGACAAAAGAAAAGATTCAAAGGAGCACTATAAAAAGTCTCCTATAAGCTGTCACAGGTATGGGCATTTGAATATCCAAATACCTTACTTGAGTTCCTTCTACCATGCATCTGTAATCACCCTTCAAGAGGAAAGGGAACCTTCCCTTTCTCTTCTCAAGAATAAAAATATGTTTTAAGATAATTCTCATGCTTCTACCCTTCTTGATTTCCATCATAAAAAACAATGAAAAGAATCCCTAAAGATACTTAGGCAACAGTGAGCTATCTTGTCCTGTTCGAATACTCGTGTAGCTAGAGTGGCATTGAGGGTTGAGCGAAGGAAGCATAAGCTAGACCAAAGGCTAGACAAAGAAGTCTTCAGGTATAATTCTAAACTTATTCTCTTATCATGCGAAAGCTAGGTGGGTATAGAAACATTTCTATTATCTTTTGACATTATTATTCTTGAGATTAGAAATAACAGGGAAATAGTACCTAACCTCTTATATTTCAAATAGAAAAACTCATCCTAAAAGTTGGTTTGTAATACTCTAAAATGCTTGACTTCATTCAAGAAATAATTGTAGATAAAGTAGTTTATGAGCAGCAATACGAATATTATAAAAATAAAATAGTGAATATTTTAGAAAAAAATAAGTAATATTGAAGATATAGATGATTACCATCTATATCTTAAAAAATTAAAGCGAACAACAGCAAATCTAAATGAAGATTTAAAAAGACTCAAAAAAACTAAGCAAAGACTATCTTTTCTAACAGTTTAATAGATTTGATTTCACACTTCTTGAACTTAACATACCAACCACACATTAGCTTGTAATTTGAGTTAGGTTTCGAAAACCTCCCATAAAAATTTTGGTATCAAAGTCATAAGAATCAATGCTGTTAAGAATGAAATTAAGAAAACTAGTAAGATTTTATGATCATCAGATCAAATTATTAACTAAGATTATAATAGAAGAAGGGATGATTCCCTATAGAACTGATGAGTTACTATGGAAAAAATATGTATATAAAGTTAGTAAAGCTTTAGCTTTAGAAGAATAAAAAAATTTAGCAATATAAGAATAAAAGCTGTTTTGTAGCAAATATAAACTCAAGGACTAAAAAATCCAAACAATATTAAGTTCAAGGATTCAAATGTCAAGTCAACTGAAAGCAAAAGGTTGGATTTAACGTCATGGGTGTCAGAAGGCCTGATTTGCCACCTAATGTAAGTTGGAGGGTTAGCTTGTTTCTGAATGTACTTGAGGGGCTTATTTAACACCGATCGATGCATTCAGGGGCTGATTTGCATGATTCGCCGAGTCATGTTTAGATTGCTGTTTAAACTTTTTCTTTTTCTTTTTTTAATGTGAAAATAAGAGGTAGCATTAAACAAAATAAGGAGTACAAGTGTAGAACGCAACGCAAGGGATATCCACCCGGGCCATATTAGTCAAGAGGAAAAAGGGAAAAAGAGGAAACGAAAAACTAGGACTGCCTGGCAGTCCTTGCAGTATCCCCATATCCAAAACAGAAAAAATCTACTTAAAGAGAGTGACCTATCTGGATCAGAAAATTAGCACACATATTCGATTCGTGGAAAACGTGCCAAAACTCAACTTGGGGAATTCTACTGACAACTCCCTGCAATCCAAAATAAGTGCACTACGAGGGTGGAATTCACAGTAGTCCTTACAAAGCAAATTAAAAGCAATCAAGGAATCCGTCTCAATGCATAACTGGTGGAACCCCTTATCAATAGCCAGCGAAAAGCCATCCCAAAGTGCCCAGATTTCAGCTGCAAGGCAGGAGGCGGAACCTAAGATCCTGGAGAAGCCAAGCGAACAATTACCGTCATGATCTATGATCAGGCCCCCACAGGCTGCTTTCCCCGAAGTGCTGATAAAGGAACCATCAGTGTTGAGTTTGATGAATCCATGATGAGGGTTGGACCTTCTTTAGGGTCTAGTTCAGCCGCCCGTTCCTTAACTAGAGGCACAGTTCTATTTGGATTATACTGATCAGATGTATATAATTTACAGTTCCTCTGAGGCCAAATAATCCAAATAGTAGAAGAGAAGAGGGTACTCCATTGTTTAAACTTTCAAACTTCAAATAAAACTGATAAGAAATACCTACAGACTGATAGTTGTTACCACCATGAAGGAGAAATTAAATTGACTCCTCACATAAAGAGGAGGAAATGGAATCAATATGAAATCATTGGTGAAGATTTGTTAATAATATTGTCAACCAATCTTTCTCAGTACACAGTGTTTTTTCTTTTTTCTTTTCTTTTCTTTTTCCTTTTTTTTCTTTATCGTGTCTCGGTACAGAGTTTTGACATGGGAGTAAATGACAACCTCATAAAAACAAACTCAGATGTAACAATATGAAGATAATTTGAAATTGAAGGAAAGGAAGAGTAAAATACATCATCTTGTTAAAATTTAAAAATAAAAAATAAAATTAGAGACTACATGTGGCACAGTTATGTTCCAGTCTTGCGGGCAAACCGCTGTAAACTCTTTGGCATGTCGGTTACCTGACTGAGCTTCCGCTTCTTTCGGGATAACTCTTGTTCCTCAATTTGTTGCTCCACGAAAGGCCTCTTTGCTCTCTTGATGATCTCCTTCTTCTTCTTTGCTCTCTTGCTTGGTTTATTCCTGCCCTTCGTTTTCTTCTTCAGGTCTGTTGCCTTCACAGCCTCAATAGCAGCTTCCATTTCGTCTTCAATCTCCTTCTTTGTTAGCTTTTCTTTCTTCCTCGCTTCCTTTACTGTACCAACCTTTGTTGGGTCTAACATGATTGTTTCGGGTGGGAGTTTGTCAAGGAGTGAGCGCACTTCCTTCTCCCTCCGCTGTTTAGATGTTTCAAATGGGTTTGCTACCCAGGAATCAAAGTTGGGTTCCCCTGATCCTGGAATAAGAATGCTAGACCAACCCATGGAGTGTCCTATGCCCAGAACATCCTCATATGACCGAAATAAAACTTTTCCTATCTGGTAACCTTTCACCATAGAATGACTCATGTATCTACTATAATTCTGTGATCCAGACAAATCTCCCATTATTTGAACAAATGAGCCGGTTCCAGCAGCAAGCAAGCCTTTCTGACTGAAATTCAAGGTCTTTGCTTGGCCTGGTAAAGTTTGGAGAACATCAAATTTCCTCAGGTCCCAAATCTTAATCTTTCTTTCCTTCCCAGATGTGGCCATGAGATGGCCATTGGGATGGAATGCCAATGCTGAGACAGGTCCATGATGACACAGCATCTTCACAAGTGGATTAACACTGGTAGGCTTCCACATGGTTACTGTGCCGTTTGATTGACCCAATGCAACAACCCCATTGTATGGATTCACCTCCATAACATCAGTACGACCTGAACCAGTCCGGTAATTTGCTACCATTTCACCTGTTGTCACATCCTGGTAATGTAGCTGGCCATATTTGTTTATTGATGCCAACAGGAAGTGGTTTTTCAGAAACTGAAGCCTTAAGACTGCACCATGTTCCTGGAAGACAAAAGAGTTTTAACTACTTCCAGCTTCACAACAGGAAACTATAAACCAGTACATGCAATTTACAATTAAACATCAATTCTTCCCACCCCAAGAAATTAATACACTAATTGAACCACAGAGTTACAATCCAAATGGTTTGAAGAAAACAATCATGCAATCAACAAATGGAACACAGATCGCAGACTTATAATTCCTTAAGAAAACGAATGCTGACCTTTAAACAATGAAGTTCAGTGCCATCGCGATTATAAATATAAGGATACCTGCAACATAACTCAAACAAAGCTACATTACTCTCAAGTCATATACTTGATTGATCAGACTGATGATAGAACATACAATATCGTATTAATAGATGGAAACACATTCAATGAAGAATAAAAAAGAGAAAAGAAAAGAAAAGAAGAGTTGCTTATATAAGGCAAAGTCACATCCATCAGATGGAAGGCATAAACCATATAGAAGATGTCTCTGTCCAAATTCTTAAAGATACTATTTTGATGTCTAGAGATATATATCACAACAAAAAGGACTAGTATGCTTAAAAGTAGAAGGTTCTAGTACTAATAGATGAAGGCATACTTCTTCTGTGCAGCAGCAAAGAAAAGTTCATTGTGCAGGAATGCCACATCACGTACTGTTTCTCTAACCTGAAAGAATCAAGAGTTATCTTGCATATTAGTTTAACATTAAAGTCCAATGTTAAATTAAACAAACAGTGAGGGCTAGGAGATGCATGTAACCAACACAAGATGAATAAGCAAAAAGACAGTTGAGATATTCAATACCAAACTCTGATTGTGAACTTTACACTCCTACATCTTTTATCTGATAAAATCAATGGTACTTGAGAGCATATTCAGATTTTACAAATGGAAAACCAAGATTATGCCACATTAAATCCGAACTAATTTGGCTTAAAACTCATAGTTGACTTAATTTGAGAATGTGAAATATGATATTTATTACCAAAAGAACCAAACTGACTGTACCTGAATCTCTTTAATTAGGCTCAAATTCCGCATGTCCACAAGGGCTAGATGACCCTTACGTCCAGCAGCTGCCATGTACCGACCATTTGGAGTGAAATCCAAAGTGTATGGACCAAGATCTGCACAGCTAGAATGAAAGACTGATATTGAGTATTGGAAAGAAAGAAAAAAAAATCATTGAACCCACAATAAAAGGCTAAAGGGCTATATAGACAGAACTTGTGTGCATGAAGTTCAGCTTTCAGGACTGACTTTGAGGATAAAATTCTATGGACACAACAAAAGGGTCAAAGTTTAGGTCTGATAATAATACAAGTTTTGAGAGATTTGATACAATGCCGCAACAGAACATATTTATTATGGATGCCAAGTGTTTGCTTTGCCATTACGATCTGATGAAAATGCAATATTACTAAATCAGCAATGTCAGTCAAAATAAGTGTATGGAATTTGTATGATTATCACTATGAATCAGCTGCAAACTGAGAAGACACTTCAGTTATCTTGTCATGAAAAGTTGAATGATTGTGATAAAAACCACTTGAATTCTCCATCAAGTGAGCCAAAAATACTGCTACAAGATTTTCACTTTGCAAAAATAATATGCCAAAAATTTCTGAAATTGGAATACGGCATTCACCCACCTGGTAGGACTATATCATACTGGTTTCTTGAGCTTAGGATGTCTACTTCGCGAGCAATAGCTTCCTGCTTGATCCTCCATGTCTTTTCTATCCCTTCAGGCTCCAAATAGCCACCTTCACTTGGAAGAAGCCACTGATAAAAAGAAAAAATGTTACAAAATAATTATCAAGTCACCTGATGTGTTATATTAGAGAACCAGAACACTCGAAAACAAAACAAAATCTAGCTTTGATTAAGACAATACCCAAAATATACTACCCTTCATTCACTCAATCAATGTTTTCTTTTTCTAAGAAGTTCACTGAGTGAGTAAGAACATATATGACTGATGCCATAACCCAACACTATTTAAACCTCCAAAAAAAAAGAAAAAGAGAGAGGAAATAGTAAATTCAGCAAAGTAAAGGGGAGAAGATATTTCACCTTCTCGGTCTTGGCAGCAGCCCTTGCTGCTTTTCCATACAAGTCTTCCCTTACTGCAAGCTGACCCTTTAGTTTTTTGTCTTTCAATTCCTGAAAAAACAGACCATCCGCATTTAAGAAAGATTAATCATAATCAAAATCGTCCTGATACCAATAGAGTCGCAAAATCATACCTCTAGATTAGCAGCTTCTCCTCTAAGATACTTTTTTACTTTTGCATCTAACTCATCGGATATCTCCTGAAAAATAGAAATCAAATAAAAGATATGAAGAAGAAGAAGAAGAAGAAGATGAAAATTCTCATTACTCGTGGGGATTACAAATCGGAAGACATACCTGTACAGGAGGCAAAGTCTTGCCGGCGGCGTCATCCTTTTGTTCCGTAACCATTTTAGCTCGCCGGAAGTCGTCCAAACGTGAGAGATACACGTTAAAATAAGCTACTAATCTGCAATAATCCTCACCAGCCGCTCTCAGTTAGATCAATCAAAACTCCATGAATTAGAGATTTCCGAAGGAGAAAAACTGAATGCTGTCTCAAAGGATAAATCGTAGTAAAGAAGAGTTGTGAAGGGAGCTGCTGAAGCTACGTATTCCGCAGCTCCGGTATCCGCAAGTAGGTTTTCAGTTTTCGCGAACGGCGAAGACGGTGAGGGTTTTGGGACAGCGCCTTGTGGAGGTTTTGCAATTTTAGGGTCATTCTGGGCGTTTTTATGTCTAAAGCTAGCCCAACGAACTGTGGACCTACTAAACTCGACGATCCATCATGTTTATCAAGAATGAAAAAGAGTCCGGCCCAAATTTAGGAGAACAAAAGTGAAACTTCATTTTGAGTTTGGCTCGTGTTTTTAGGTTTTAATTTTGACTTAATAAAGTTTGTAACTCAAAATGAAAAATTAAATTTTTAATATATTATTATGATTATTAAAATATAAAAATAAAAATAATTTTAAATGTTATTAAATAAATTTATAGTTTGGCTATCAATTTATAAATTTATTTTAAATATTTTTAATTTTTAATATTTTTTTAACATAAAAAATTATGAGAGAAAGAAAAATTTTCAAATAATTAATAAAAGTTGGATTATTGACTAAATAAACTTAAATACTAATATTTGAATACAACCTATTAGATTCAAAAGGTTGGTTTAATTTTTAATATTATTTAGATAAAAATGTTTTTTTTATACAATTAATTATGAATTATATAAAATACAATAATCTTTCTCTATTCTCAAACCCCTCTTTACCCGACTTAAGGGTTTGTAACTTTGTATAAAAAATTTATATGAAAAATATTATCATATGAAAATCCAAGTTGGTCTGCCCAGCTCCTTTTTCAACTTCTCTTCTCATTGGAAAATATGGTTAAGTAAAGTATAAATCAGGAATCTTTCGGCCAAAAAAAAGTAATATATTTATATAAATCATGAATCATGAGGGATCACTAGTGGAATATCCTCAAACAATATACCTAAGCGGCGAAGCCTAGAGTTGACATTCCCAATTGTTCATTCTGTAACCTCGTCATCCCCATCT